AAGGGCTCTGAGGCCAATATAATCGAAAAACGTATTTACAGTTTAAATTAATTTTAAAACTTTACACTGCAAAGAAAACACCATTTCAAGTTTGAATGTAAAATTGTTTAATATATTCAATTATTTTTTAATGAATATATAACTTATAGTTACATATTTGTTTTTTTATATATGTATATTTTTTGAGTTATGTCGGCGGAATGTCACTGTCTGAGTGTGAACTTTCATCTGCTTCATCAGTCGCAACTCTTGGGTAAATATGACCATTTCTTCGTATAGACTCTGCTTGATATAATACAGAATTTGACATTGTTGCAAGGTCGTGCAAAGTCTGGCTTAAGCAGTGACTAAAAGTAGGAATCATGGAGAGTCTCACACAAAAATTTCAAGAAAAGTACATGACAGTACAATGTTTAGATTGTCCAAAAAGGTTCGACTTTGTTCATATTTTTTGACGAAAAAACGCCTAATTTTGACACATTACTCTAGCGACGTCCCTCATCGTATATTAATTGTTTTTATTTCATAAAAAAGAGCATCGTTTTCTATGCCAAATGTATTCTTTTCAGCGTTCTGGCACACCACTGTGATAAACCACAAACCACATTTTAAAAATTTTTATTTGATTTTGTAATTTTTAGAAAACAAAGTTTCAAAACATCAAATTTGACCTACAAAAAAAACTACTAAAGTGGGCTTCAAAACACCAAAGGATAATATTTTCTATGTAATTGGACATTTCTTAACAAGTTGGAATTATCAAAACATCAAAATTTCACTTTGATTTTTTTCCGGCTAATGTCGTCATATGGCCCATTGTGCACCGTCTATAAAAATTGCCTCAGGGAAGTGGTTATATTCCTAAATACAACAACGTGTATATTAGGTAATACGAGAAGGCTCTTATCTCGAATCCTTCTGGATTACTTTAAATTTTGTTCCGTATTTCTTCCACAAGTTGCCTCGATTGGTCAGCGCTCCAACGATGGGTTGTTCCTATTCGGTGGCATTCATGCTAGGAGTTCCGACTTCAGTTAACTGATATATAAAAATTTACATTTAAATAAAACTATTAAAATAATTTTAGCACTTACTTTATTCATTTTACACACAAAAATACAAATTTTCTAGAAGTCTGAATTAGTGATGACAAACAAATAGGGTTTGTTATTTGTATGTGTAAGTGTTGATTTTGTCTCATTCATTTTAATATAAAATTTTCGGCCTCTCGGCAACGTAACGGGTCCATACAAATTTTGACAGTTCTTTTACGAGGCTCGTAAATTTACGAGGTTTACGAGGTTTTTACGAGTTTAAGGGAAGTACCCCTGATATATCACTTTTTATTGAATTGTATAAATTGTGTCGAATATATTTTTATAACCGAGCGTACTTGTGCACAAGGGTATTATAACTTTGTTCATATTACGGTTGTTTGTAACAACCAAAACGAATCGAGATAGATATATGCATACAAATGTATACATAAATACTCAGAAGAAGTCGATTAAGCCCGGTCTGTCTGTCCGGCCTTCCGTGTACAGGATAACTCAAGCAAAAGCGCATTATCGGCGCATTCCTTTAATATTTCGTCTTGAGAATTTTTTTTTCGCAACATATTATAGACTTCGTGCAATTCATTGCGCGCCCCAACAAAATTTGTCGCGTTTCACTGTATATGACCGCGCAACGACCGCGTCGTGAAATGAACCGCCTTAGAGCATTTAAAAACGCCTTTGTGCTGAGATCTTCCACAAGCTCTAAGTGAACAGCCTTAGTAACGAAGCAGACAAAAATTGATACACACGCCCTTACAGGTGCCGTGCCACGACGTCGAAAGTGTATATAAAAGGAACCACAAAAATCAATTCCGACAGTATTGAATGGTCGGCTTTGTTGAACACGAAGCTCTGGTAGATCAGCCATGAGTTGATTCGATTTAATTGGCTGCGCCTTCGCGCAGCGGACGCAGTTGTAGACGATAGAGCGTGCTAAAACCTTTCCATGGACGGGCCAAAACCTTTGACGAACAATACTCAACAATGCTTGTGGCCCTACGTGATGATTCTGTATGTGATGATAGACAAGGAGAGCCCGTGTGAAAGGGTGCGATTTTGGAAGTATTATTGGATGTTTATTGTCATAATCCAGAGCAGCGTGCTGTAACCGACCGCCAACACGGATGATACCGCTGTCATCAATGAAAGGTGCGAGAGCCTGGATGCTGCTCTTTTTAGCGACCGATTTGTTGTTGCTGAGTGAACGTGTCTGTTCAGTAAATCCGTCTTTCTGAACTAGTTTTATTATCGTGAAGAGAGCGTAGCGCAGTTCATCAGCAGTGAGTACTCCGACGCGACGATGTGGATTATTACGCTTGGCACAATTTTGCTTGAACCGTAAAATGTAAGCTACAACATTTACTAACTTCCGGTAATTGTTGTGATATTTTATACCTTGTACAAAATATTCTTATACTGCGTTGCAAGAACAAGTTTAATCCGTTTTCGTTCCAAGACGCTATCGTTGGGCTGAGTAAAGTTTACTGTAACTGGCCAAAATTCATTCTCCTGCATTAGAAATATCGGTCCATTTGACCAAAGAGTGGAACTAATCAACATTTCAGGCAGCATTCCACGTGATAACAAGTCTGCAGGATTATGCTCTGTTGGCACATGACGCCATTGTGAAAAGGAACTGACTTCTTGTATAAGGGCAACACGATTAGCGACAAACGTTTGCCAGTTGCATGATTCCTCTCGTAGCCAACTTAGGACTATTGTCGAGTCGGTCCAATAAATTATTTTCTTAAAGCTAATAAAGTTGTAAATCTCAATGACTCGCTTAACGAGTTGCGCCATGATAACTGCAGCGCACAATTCAAGCTTAGGTAGGCAGCAACTTTTGAGAGGTGCTACTCTGGTCTTAGCACATAATAGCTTGACACTGAGAATTTCATTATTTTGAGAGACACTTCGAACGTATATACATGCGCCATATGCGGCTTCGGAACTGTCGGAGAAAGCATGTAATTCATAATTTGCAACCGGTGCAAATGCCTGGCGATCAATCTTGAAGCTATTTAAATATTGCAGTTGATTGCGAAAGTTCTCCCAACGAGAGTGATATTCTTGAGGGAGCGATTCGTCCCAACTAATATTCAAGCGCCAGAGCTGTTGCATAAAATTTTTGCAAGCACGACGACAGGGCTTATTAGACCTGTGGATCGAATAGCTGCGCTATTTGGGAGAGAACACTTCTTTTTGTAGTCGCCGGTTTAGCAATTGAGTCTGGCTTTTCATATAAGAACTTGTCTATAAAGGGGTTCCATATGACTCCCAGTGTTTTAATTGCATTATCACCCTTTATTTGGAAAAACTTCTCTTTACCTTCATCAGGAGTGCCATTAAGTATTTCGGTGTGATTCGCGCACCACTTTCTTAACTCGAAGCCGCCCTTTGCAAGCATAGTCTTGAGTTGGAATTGCAAATCGATTGCTTCACTTAATGTGTTAGCGCCCGTTAGTATGTCGTCAACGTAAAACGCGTGAATTGCGGCATCGGCTGCGCGTGGATATGTATGTTGCTCATCAATGCACAATTGCCTTAGCGCACGTGTTGCTAGAAAGGAGGCAGAGGTAGTATCGTACGTAACAGTGCACAGTTGATAAATGGCTATTGGATCTCTTCCGTCGGAGCGCCATAGAATATAGTGAAAACGTCTGTCATTAGGATGTAATGATACCTGGCGGTACATCTTCGAGATATCCGCTGTAAAAACATACGTATAGTAACGAAATCGCAAGACTGTAGAGAGTAGGTCGGTCTGTATTGCAGGGCCGACCAATAGTAATTCATTGAGAGATACACCTGAACTGGTTTTAGACGAAGCGTCGAATACCACGCGTAATTTCGTCGTTGAGCTTGATGGCTTTAAAACATGATGGTGTGGAATGAAATAATGGGGAACGCTAAGGTCTACATCTGATATCGGCTCCATATGAGATAGAAATATAAATTCATTCATAAACTCCTTATATTGTAAGTGAAGTGTCGTATCTTTTCGAAACCTTAGCTCAAGGGAGCGAAATTTCTAAGCGCTAAATCATACGACTGTCCTAGTGCGCTTGGACTCATCTTGAAAGGCAGTCGAACTTGATAACGACCACACGGCAAGCGTGTAAAGTTTTCTGTGAAATGGATTTCACTCTGCCTCTCATCTTTCGTTAAATTGAGCAGCGGATAATTAATGTTTTACAATTGCCAGAATGCCTTGATAGAGTCGTTGAGTATAGAGTCTTGGTGTGTGGTCGCACACTGCACCATATTGCTTATGAATTGTTGTTTGTTGAAGAGAGCCTTCCAGCCACGACCCAATCGAGAAGAGTATTTTGTGCTATTGGTAAATAACGCCCAAGTTTGACTTGACCAACAGACAGAATTTCAAAAAATGCGTCGACGCCTATGAGCAGATCAACACGTTGCGGCTCGTTGAAGAGAGGGTATGCTAATTTGAGGTTTTTTGGAATGTTCCAGTTCTCAATTCCCAGTTTTTCGTCAGGCAAAGGGCCTGTTATGTGATTTAGTACGGTGGCATCCAGTGTGATAGAAAAATTGTTGAAGCGGGATTTTATTGTCAGTACAGAATTATATTTTGCAGACATACGCGTGTGTTAGCGCAAAGGAAATGTGTGGGTGAATATTGACGCGTTATTCCTGCTATTCTGACAATTCGTTCAGAAATCAAATTTAATTGCGAACCTGAGTCTAGCAATGCTCGACAAGGGACGCTCTGGTTTTGGTTGTTAATCAAATTTACTATAGCAGTTCCTAATATATTTCCGTCATTGCGGGTAAACTTATTGTGCAAGACGGCATGAGATCTATTTGCAGAGATCGACTGTGGCGAATGCGAATTGTCGGAGCGAGTTTTTCGGAAAGTATTGTTATTGGTTTCCATATCGGAATTGTCCATATTTTGATGAAGCAGGGAATGATGGATTTTACCACAAGTGCGACATTTAAAATTTGATGTGCATTTGAGTGCAGAATGTTCATTAGTTTTTAGACAATTTTCGCATAATTTTAAATTACGAATACTATTGCACGCGATCAGCCACAGGTAAGCTTAAAAAGGCAATACATTTATGTATGAAATGGCCCTGCTTGTTACAAAAATTACATGCATTTTTCGTTATCGTGAGAGCACGAGGGTTTCTTTGTGTTTTGTTAGAACTACTATTAGATGAGTTATTGTTAGTTAATAACTGAGTAGGCATGTTACCTTCAATTATTTGACAGCGTTTCTTAAGAAACATCATGAGCTCGCTTAGTGTGGGCATGCGGTCCGTAGCGGATTCCTCATTCCACTTTAGAGCTGTATCTGAATCCAATTTTGATGTAATTAAATGGACTATGAGGTCATCCCAATGTTCTGTCGGTCGATCCAAGTTCTTCAATCCGACCAAGTGATTATTCATAACGTCAATTAGTCTTCGCAGATCAATAGAGCTTGGCCTGTAGATTTTGGGGTATTGAAACATCAACTCAATATGCTTTCTGCCATTAACCCGTTTGTTCTTAAATCTATCACGCAGCTGATTGAGAGCCACTTCGTAGTTTTCTGACACGATTTTTAGACCTTCGATAGTGGCCTTAGCAGTCCCTTCTGACGAGGTGATGGAACTTGGCTAGTGTGGTGATATGTTTATTGTTGTGCACAAGGGACATGAATTGGTCGTACCAACTCATCCATGTAGTCGCTTCACCTGAAAACGTGTGTAGCTCAATTTTTGGTAATTTAATCGACTCATACCTTTCTACGCTGGTGCACGGCACCTTGCTGGAGTTGCTTGCAAGCTCCATTTGAGTCATTATAATATTGATGGGTGCTGCGGTTTGATAATATAATTCTTCGTAGGTTGGTCGATTCTGCTGAGTTATTTCATCTGGATCTCTCTCCTCGACTTTTAGCTGGACATTATTGAAACCATCAAACGCCTTATGCAGTGCTTCAAGACGAATGCTTAGTTCAGACGTTGATGTCAATTTGTGATCCTCCTTCACTCGTTCAACAAAGTCCCGTGCCCTCTCCAATTGCTGCTCGTGCATAGTGCGACGAGTTTTTAGGGCAGCGACGGTCTTATCCTGTTTACTACTTCCCGCAGACTTTAGAGGTGGACCCTCGTTTTTTTTGCCTGGTGGGGGAAGTGATTCGGAGTCTGACATCTTACAGTCACGTGGCCAAGTTGAAATTCAACGAAATTGCTTTGCTTGGCGCAAAATATAAATCTCGCCGGGGCCTCCAAAATGTTTAGGGGTAATTGAGCCTTTTCAATTCCCAAGACGATTACCTATGTTAAATATATTTTACGATGCAATATCCGTCATGAAATTTAAAGGCGCACGTTTTTCTTGCGATAGTAATATTTTGACAGCCACACCAGTTTATTCTTCTTCATTAAACGAAACCAACAGGTCACAATTATAACTTAAAATACAACATGGTTACTTTTATGAATTCAAGAATGACTATTAAATGGTTACTCATTTTAAAATATTGAAGGGATAAACATAATTTACTTAACAGTGACCGTTTAGCTATAAAATAACCAAAAATGCCGATAGGTAGAACTTTTTACGCTGATTACAACAATACCAAATTTGGCGCAGGCAAAAAATAACGAAGACATAAGAGGTTTATTTGCTTTGTTTATTTGTATTTTTTATTATCACTGAATTGTTGAAACCCAAAAAGTACATCATGATAAAATATTTAATATAGAATTAAAGATAATAACTTGTACTTTCTAAATAATATAAATTTCTTTACCATTAATTATGCAGTTTTTTTTTTCAAAAAAGATTATTTCATGAAAAAATAAGATTTGTTCGTTATTTACAGGGTAATAAAAAGTTTGTAACCAGTAAATAAAGTTCCTGTCAATTTTTA